CTAGAAGCCATTAGAGCTATTGACTTCTTCTCACCCGCCCTGTCTTTGTTCCTTTCCTTCTTACTCTTATTTTCGTATTTTTCAAGACTTTGCAATTCTTGTTGATGTTCTTCCAGCTTTCCAAACAGAGCTGTAATGGTAAGCATAGTGAGGTCATTTTCTTCCTTGATAGCTATTACTTTAGGTTGCCATTTCCTGCTAAGACATCTCAGAATTTTATTAGTAGCAATTTCATTGGAAACAGGTTTTCCAAGTGCATTTAAACGACTCACAAGATGAACGAATATCTTCTGCATGTTAGAGACAAATTCTCCTTGTTTCATACGAAAGAGCTCGAACTCTTGATTGAGTGTATTGATGCGGGACTGTTTAACTTCAGTAGTGCCTTCATGGGCAATTTCTAAAGCATCCCACATTTCTTTAGCGGACGTGCAGTGAGACACCCTATAATACTCATCAACACCAAGTGGTGAGATTATCATATTTCTGCCTCTCCAATCGCACGACCATTTCTTTTCATCCATTTCATTCCATTGATCCTCAGGTTTAGGTATTGTTTCACCTGCATCATTCCTCATGGTGATTTGAAAGGGACCATTTTGAATGGAAGTCCAGACATTCCTGTCAATGGAATTTATGTGTACTCGCATGCAGTCTTTCCAGTAGCCATAGTTTTCACCATTGAAAACAAGAGTTCTATTATACGCCCCTGTTGGTTCAAAGGCCATAGCGTTACTAGTAGATACAAAGCACCAGCTAACCGGTGCTCTGATACCACTTGTTAGACGTGTGGCAAGTGATCGAGAGGGGGTGAGTAGATCACCTCTTACTTTTTCAAGTATTTAAGATTATTTTATCAAAGCGAGTTGAAAGCAGCGAAAATCAATGTCCTGAATCAATTTCGTCTACTTTGAACCGACTACTAGAAAATTTGACATGTGAAAAACTTGTTGGATTTTTATTAAATAAAATGGATGAATATACAACTCAAAAGTCTTAACGTTTCAATGCACTTATCATAAAAACAGTATTTCAATGAATTTAGAAATTTGTTAGGAATTTTGTCAAACACTTGGCATATCTTGTATAATGATTTAGTAGTGGTGGTTTGGTGAAAATGTTTGAACCACTATGTTTATCATTAGTCAGAAAAGCTTAGCAAGCCAATTGAATTACAAAATTATGGAATATGTAAAACTATAAAGAGAAAGAAAGAAAGAACGATACGCAGACATTTTGGTAAGGAAGTTCCCCACTGTCGTCCTCGCGTGTGGGTACGTCTCTCTCTCAATTTCACAATTGAAACTGAGAACTTTTATAACAATTTTCTGAATGTTTGATAACAAGGTTACACTACACAGAAAGATAGAAATCTCTATGATCTTTTTCTTCTTGTAAGAACCACCACTTGATATGAGTTGTATCAAGATTTCCTGCAAGGTCCACAAACGATCCTCCTCTTCCACGACCTGTTTGTTAAAATCCTTCCGATTTCTAAACCCCTCGCTATGGCTGAATCCGAATCGTGCGGCCGTGGCTAACAAAACCCTCAAGAACTCACTTGTTCTTGAAGGACAAACCCTCTGGTTTATTTCTTGAAGCCTCCTCTTCAACCTTTAACTCAGCTGAGATTCTTTCAATACACAGATGAACGTTATCTCTGACCGCTTGATTCACTTCAACAAGGATGTTTGATTTTCTTTGTTGTTGTTGAATTGAAGATGGTTGAGAAGATGGTTGAGAAGATGGTTGAGAAGATGATGAAGATGAAGTTTCTTTAGGCTTCTGGTTTCTCACAATTGTTTGCACACAATTCAAATATGTTGCTCTGTTGTACTGAGAAAAATGCTTGCTTATATTTATAACAGAAAATGGTTAGTCAAGAAAGAAAGTATTATGAGTCGATGCATGTTGGTCATGTGTCTACTCATGTTATTTATGAGTGACAGGATGTGCCGACACATTGTGTTTTGAGTCGATACAAAATCATATTATAATATTTTACAGAACCAACAATTTTATATTCGTCGACACATAACATGTATGTGTCGATACAACTGATTGTAATTTTAATTTTTGAACATAAAACATAGTATGAGTCGACACATGATATTATGTATCGATACATATAAGTTCAAAAATGTTTTCCAGGGGCATCAGAATGTTATGTGTTGATACATGAGGTTTTATGTCGATGTATACAAGTTCAAGAATGTATTACAGGGGCATCAAAGTGTTATGTGTCGATGCATGAGGTTTTGTGTTGATGCATACAAGTTTAAGTTTGTATTACAGGGGCATCAAAAATGTTATGTGTCGATGCATGAGATTATGTATCGATACATGCAGGTTTTAAGTTTGCATTTCAGGGTCATCAAAGAGTTATGTGTCGACACATAAGCTTTTGTATCGATGCATAATAGTTTTTGAAATAGTATTCCAGGGACTTCAGTAAGTTATGTATCGATACAAAACCTGTTGTGTCGACTCATAATGATGCATTATGAGTAAAATACATTTTTAGCTTATTTAAACATGTTATATTATATTTTTGTAGTGCACACATGTATTTAGTATTTCACATATATTTGCAATCATTCAAAAATCAATTATGAAGGGGTTGCTCACAAGCACTTCCACTAACTCAACTAACTTGTAAAGGCAAATTGTTTATGTGGGACATCCAATATGAAGAAATTTTTATTGAGATGAAGAAGAAATTGACAACGGCTCCGATTTTGATATTACCTAATCCTGAAGAATCCTTTGTTGTGTATTGTGATGCTTCTAAATTGGGTTTAGGTGGTGTGCTCGTGCATAATGATAAAGTAGTAGCTTATGCGTCGAGGCAATTGAGGATTCATGAAAAGAATTACCCTACTCATGATCTAGAACTAGCTGCAGTGGTGTTTGTACTAAAGATTTAGAGACATTACCTTTATGGGTCCATGTTTGAAGTATTTAGTGATCATAAGAGCTTAAATTATTTGTTTGATCAGAAGGAGTTGAATATGAGGCAGCGCGGAAGGTTAAAACCATTGAAAGCTTACGACTTTGGCTTAAACTATCATCCTGGTAAAGCTAACGTTGTAGTGAATGCTTTAAGTAGGAAAACGTTACATATGTCTGCTATGATGGTCAGAGAATTAGAGTTGATCGGGCAATTCAGAGACATGAGTTTAATATGTGAAGTGACACCGCAGAGTGTGAAGTTGGGAATGTTGAAGATTAATAATAATTTCTTGGATAGTATTAAAGAGGCTCAGAAATTAGATGTGAAGTTGGTATACTTGATGGTTAAGAGTAACCAGTCTGAGGACAGTAAATTTAAAGTAGATGTCAAAGGTGTGTTGAGATTTCACGACAGAATTTGTATTCCTGATAATGCAGAGATGAGAAAAATGATTCTAGAAGAAAGTCATATAAGTAGTTTGAGTATTCATATGTGAGCTACTAAGATGTATCACAACTAGAAGAGGTTAATTTTATGGTCCGGATTGAAACGGGATGTAGCACGGTTCGTGTATGCGTGTTTAACTTGTCAGAAGTCGAAAGTTGAACATCAGAAACCGACAAGATTGTTGAAACCTTTAGATATTCTAGAGTGGAAGTGGAATAGTTTTACTCTTGAATTTTGAAGAATAACTAGCAAGATATTCGTGCTGAAAGCTGATAAATTTATTTGATACAATAAAAAATATATTTAGATACACATATAAATTTGAAATGAATTATTTAATTGTAAAATAACAATGATCATATAAACTCAGTTGTATTAAATAATCTTAAAAAAATATTTTAAAAAAATTTCGTAAGATGGAGAAAGAATAATTTAACATTTGGAAATAAAGAGTTTGCTTCTCAAATAAAAACAAATTGTTAATTAAAATAAAATAGATATGCCCTGATAGAGTGACTTGTGAGATGAACAATTAATTGCGTGCGTTGCTATTGAGTATTATACATTGTAATTCGGTATAAAATATTTTTAGATACACATGTAACTTTGAAATAAATTACTTAATTATAAATAACAATGATCATATAAACTCAATTATATTAAATAACTTTAAAAAAAAGAACTTGTGAGAAGATAGAGAGGATCATGCAAACTACCTCCCTAGCGTATAGAGAAAAGAACTATCCAACAAATGGTCTGAATTTATAAGAAGCTACACCATATCCTAATATTTTACCATCTTTAGTGCGGAAAATGCCAGAGAGACTAAAGAGATCAAGAAATAAAGATGCTGATGAGAAAGATAAAGACTCGTCACTTAAAGGCCAACACTATAACTTAGTTACTCTAGCAATTTTCATCACACCTTATACATTTTTTTGGACAAATCTCATTAACATCTAAAATGGTTAAACATGTTTTGAAACAATGATATAAATGAAAGAACGAAAAATATTAATTTTGATTAGAATATTTTTAATTCTTTTAATGGTAGAGGGATAAATGAAACTATGTATATATATTATTATATACATAGCGGTGTCGGTGTCTTATATTTTTACATTATCGGTGTCGGAGTGTCCATGTCTGTGTCGTGGTATCTGTATCGGAGTATGTGTTTCATAGACGTTTAGCAAGTACAACGATCAAGTTAATCAGGTAGAAAATCTAAAACTAAGATACGGCAAAGGTTAGTATAGAAGAATCAGTATTAACGGTATATCACTAACATAATATGAGAGGTATCAACTAAAAAGATAATGTATATAAGAATCAAGGTTAGTATAATCTCAACTATGGTAGTAGCATATAATGCATGGATATCAAAATAACTGATATACTAATGGACCTATTTTTATCAAATAAATAGGAATGTGAAGAAAAGAAACACACCTTTGCTGCACATTAACAAATACAGTTGGAACATGACAATCTAACAACTGATACAAATTGAGTATCAAAGGAAGTTCAAATGTTGGCTCTTACAAAAGGAAGAAACATCTTAATCAACTTCTCCTATCAAGTAGAACTAATAAACATCTTAATCTGTCTTATGTGCTTTATACGCATCCTTATACGCATCCAATAACAATGGCAAATCTTTCTGAAATGGGGTCACATATTTCTCAAGAAACTTTTCTCCACTTATCAAAGTAAAGCTGCCTAAGGTCAAACCACTCTTTTTCAAACCCGACGATTTCAAAATCTTAACTACTGCAAATCTAGGGACGAGTACCTTCTCCAAGTTGCGGGACAGAATCACCGGGAACTTAGCAATGTCTTCTGGTGTATGACCTGCGTCCTTCACCAAGAAGCTCATTGCTTTATTAATACATTTTTCCGACATCAACATACACTGAGGCCGCTTTCGGAAAGCCAAAAGACAGACATCTCTCGACCAGCCCCACTTGGCATAAATCTTAAACTTCGATTCCCAGTTTTCTTTGTCCATACTTACAATTACTCGAAGTGCCAAAACAAAATTAAGTTGCAAAGGATTGAACCCCATTTCGATGACGGAATCAACAGCCTCAACAAATACAGAATGCTTGTTGAATGCAACACTAGGAAAATAACAAACCAAAAGCGAAACATAACGTTGTGGCACACCGAGTTTCCTCAAAATCTCAATGTTTGGAACAGAATCATTAACCATGGAATCATTGTAAAAAATCCATGAGCCGTGTTTCAAAGCCGAAACAACTTCTTTATCGTCGCGAACAAGGCTTCGAACAATTTGATAGCGAGGTATTAGGTTATTCTCCAAGTTTGCTGACAAAAAGGAAGTGTTCCCAATTAGGATTTTGGGGAAATCAGTGGTGGAAACACCAATGGATTGCAAAAACTTGAGCTTTGGCAAAAGGGTGTTTTGGGGATCTGATAAAAGGAGAAAAGGGCGTTTCTTGACAAGCTTTGATAACTGGGAATCGGATAAGCCATAGTTTCTGAAAAGTTGAATGACAGCATCAGGGCCGTTAGGGTTTTTTACGAGTTTCAACCTTTTGGAGAGTTTAAGGGAAGTTTCAGGGGACAAGTTACATGAGTTAACGAGGTTGGATAATGTAAGGTTGTTGTCAGATTGGTGAGAAAAATAGCGAGGATTGAAGAAAAGAGAAAGAGCATTGCGGCATTGAAGTGTTGTATGATGAATGAACCTAGGAATGAGAAAATGAAACATTGTAGTAATAAGCAATGAGAGTGATGAATGGTTTACTCACCAAGTTGAAGTACTGCGTGCTTGGGTGGGACGGCATTCACCTAGTTGATAGGGACTCGTCTGTAACTGCGACTCCGATTTTTCTTTCTTGTTTTTAAATGTTACAATTCATATTTTAAAATATTATTTTGCTAAAATTTGCTCTTTATTCAAATATTTTTCTATCTCCAACTTTGGTCAAGTTTTTCCTCCTTTCTGCCATCAATCATCATTCACTTGTAACTCTAAAATCATCTCCACTGATCGGAGAGTGAAAGTGGTTCAGTCATGAAAAACGATCTCCACCACCTGAAGATATAAAATTTCCGAGTTAATGTGTGTGTTCATGTAATGGTTACGGTTATTATGTTTGTGTTATTTCTTGTTTGGATTGTTCTGTGGTGTATGTTGTTCTTTGATTTAGGTTGTTGTAAATTTGTGTTCAGGGTGTTTGATGAAATGCTTCAAAGAAGCTTGGATGAAGGAGATGTGTTTGAGTGAGAATCTAACTAGGGTTGTTGCAAATCAAACTCCTCCTTTCTATCAACAAATGATTCCTCCATAAATTGTGAGTTTAATCAATCTTGAGAACTTGAATAATTGAATTAAGCGTGATAAAGTTAAAGAAATGATCTGTAATTGGATAGATTTAAAGATTGTGGTTCCAAAACTCATTTATCTCTTGGGGAAGAGTTTTGGTTGGTTGTTTAGATTAAGGATTTAGATACGTAACTCTATTGGTTTCTGATTTCTCAGTTTTTTTTATGTCCATAGCTTGCTTGGCTTAATTATTAATTTTATTGTTAAATTGTGGATGAAAAATACCCTAACACAATACTTTTCTCTATGTTTGTACTCTCTCTTTTTCATCTAATGCATGAGATTGTTTACTGTAAAAAAAAAAATAGTACATCTTTAAGGCTTTGAGTCTTTTATGACAAATTTATTTGTTATTATGGAATGGTCTTCTAATATGGCTAAGGAAAATAAATTGGCATTAAACCCCTTATTTTTTTGTCTAAATTGTCGTTAATAAATTTAAAAATTTATGTTTATGTATTGAAATTTCCCAACTATCAATGGCATGTGCTGAATTTAGGCACGCATGTTCACTTTGTCTCATTTAGGTTGAGGTCACTCTTTATCTAAGTTAGTATCTGACCTAGAGAGACCAAAATATATATAATTTTTCAAACATAGGCTCAAAAGAACAAGAAATTTTCGGAGGAGAGATCAAAATGTACATAACCCTTAAAAATTAGACAAAAAAATGGATGTGTTAGAAAGAGACGAGATTATATATATATATATATATATATATATATATATATATATATATATATATATATATATATATATATATATATATATATATATATATATATATATATATATATATATATATATATATATAGTATTCTTTAGATCTATAAGAATGAAACTCTTTATTTAGAGGAAGCTAAAAGAAATTTTAAAAATTAAAATATAATGTAAAATATTTTTACACATACATCCAATTAAATAAATTTAAATAAATATTTATTTAAATATCTATGAAATTAAAATTTAAAAATAATACATTATTTAATTAGATGCATATGTAAATAGTTGCGCATAGATGCATGTGGTCTCAAACAATTTGTAAGTGTCGTTCTAATCTTTAAAATTTGGGTCATAATTAAAAAAACACAAAAAATTAAAAAATATATTTAATTTAAACTTTAAATATTATTAAGAATTATAGAAAAGAAATAATGACTTATAAATATTTGGAAAAAAAAATTGACTTATATAAGTATAGTTTTTAGATATTTTTTACTTATAGAATTTTTTGATTCGTAAAGAAATTTGTATCATTTAGTGAATAGAAATAGTGTTGGACAAGTAACTTCAAGTATAAGAAGGGTGAATTGTGATATTTAAAATTTGTGATTAATTTAAGAGTTTTATCACTTGAAACAATAATTTGTGTTAGTATTAAAAGTAGGAGTGGAAAAATGGGCACGACTCGTTTGGGCATGTTCGTTTTTCTGTATTTTTTTACAAAGCAAACCAAGATTTTAGGTTAGCACCCTCTAATATGTTTGTCCCGCCCTATTTTTGTAGGCTTTTGCATGTGTGTGGATTAGCATAAGTTTTTGCAATTTTTAGGCTAAAATGGTGTAGTGCTCGTAGGCCAGGCCCTCCCTGTCCTTATTTTTTTTTGTAGGACAGGTCATGGTTTTATGTATGCGTCCTACACAATGTCGCCCTGTTTTTAGTGATATTTTCTTAAACGAGCATGCATGTTTGTCATCCCTAATTAAAATAATCGAGCGAAAAAGTAGCTGAAATATAAAACAATAAATTAAATTACTAAAATTAAAAAGATGGGGTTAGAGAAATGGCACCAAGATTTAAACAAGTTCGGTCGAATGTTGGATTACTCCTGTTCCCAAGAGATCTTTTCGAGAGAAATTAATAATAATCTTAGACTCTTACATGTTATGCCAACAAACCTTTATTAGAAGCGAATCGTGAGATTTTACAGTGGTGTATCCCTCCAACCAAATAAGACCTTTTACCACAAGGTAAACTCACGAACCAAGTAGAGATTTTACTGGAAAATCTCAATAGCTAAACTGAACTTTTATCAGTTAAGTTCTAGAACCAAAACAGAACTTTATGGTATTTTAGATCTATTTCAGTTAAATTAATAATAACTATTTTAGCTTCTTACTTATTTGAAATTCTTGATCTATGTGCTTGAATTCGTTTCCCTATCTGTTTATTATTTCTTCCTTTTTGATAATGATAAATAGAGAGAAGTATTCTTCCAATAGGAGTAGAGTATACTCTTTATATTTGTCAAGATAAGTTAAACCACTATAATATCTTCCCTATGTTTCTCTGTTTGTTCCACCTTCTTAAGAGGTGTGTTGTCATTATCAAAAAACGGGAGAATATAGATCTATGTGCTTCAAACATAAACAAAGGTCATACAAAGGGAAACAATGAGTGTGATGTATACCTTTGCACAACTTCAAGTTTATCACATGAAAAACTAAATGAATTTGTTCATATCGAGAAGAAAAACTTTATAACCAACAACTCATTCTTCACAATGATGGGAAAATGCCCAAAATAAGGCATGGCAGGCTTTTGATTGTGTTGTAAGGCCACATAATCTTGCCTATAAGGTTGTAACTTGACTAAGAACATATCACTTAGCTAGAATTCCATAAAACTGCATTTAGCACCTACGTACTTCTTCATGACTTGTTGGGCACAATTTAATTTTTCTTTCAGGATCTGTTCATTTTGAAAATATTTATTGAAAGAAAGTGTTGTTTTTAAAAGTATGAGGTGTGAAAATTGTTTTAGTTTGTGAGCAAGAGATTACGAGCGATCTACCTACTCAAAAAGTCTTTATTCTTTTCCTCCTCCTTTAGATAGTGCTACCTTACTATCAGTTAGTAGGAAACCCCATCATTGGATGTGAGGGACAGGCGCGGGTCATCATACAGTCATAGAAGGCAACTTGTAGGGCGCTTTAGAAATTTTCGTAAGGGACTAAAATAGTTTACCGAAGGCAACATCGAAGCGTCATTAAGAGACTACGATCTTTTTTAATCGAGGGTCTTTGCTAAAGCGTCCCACGTTTGTGGGACATGACAGTTTTATCCGAAGGCAACAAGCAATATTACCCTAGAGGTGCGCGTGTGCATGGTGTTTTGATTTCAGTTAATTTATTTTGGATCTATGGTTATCTAGCATTTTATTTTAGATCTTGTCATACAATCCTATTAAACTAATAGTAATAAGGAAATCAGTAAATTGCATAAATTAAATGTCCTACGCTATTACATCGCTTCGGGAATGGGGGTACAAATTTATGAATGGGGGTGTATTGTACCCCAAAATTTTCCCTCCCATTTTTCATTCAAAATGTCATCCTAGGGTTTCTCAAATACTCAAAATGGCCCAGGGTTTGATCAGACAAATTATCTTCATAAGCATTGAGTCCACGACTAGGGTTTTGTATTTCTCAAGCAAAATTGAGTTTCCAAAGTTTCAAGTGGTCTTCATGGTTCTTCATGTATTCTCAAGGATGCTCGTGTCAAGTCTCAAGCATTACATCACAAGTTTACTCAGTCAATGGTTCAGATGACTGAAAATCAACTGCATTGACCAAAAAGTCGACCTTTTCAACATCAAGTTTAAACGATTATAATTTCTCCACTATTCGATATTGTTGAGTGGTTCTTTTTGCGTATGACTTTCCTCTACGTCATCTCCAACTTCTCTTTACAAATCAAGAGCCGATTATGTGTGAAAGATCATCAAAAATTCAAATACTTTAGAGGTTGCTTTCTAGACTTTGACCTAATCTGAAGCAATTGTTGTCTGACTTCCAAGATTCATAATTTCATCCATCTTGAGATGAATATCTTTGCACATTGTCATGAAGAATATCATTAACTAGTTTTTCTATAAAAATCAAAGTCAAATGGTGCTTATAAAGCCTTGGGATTTATTGAAAAAGTTATGGGTCATCTTCCTGACTTAAAGTTTTCTTGAGTCCTAATAACTTCACAATGCCAATTCTTCAATGTGATAGCTTTTGCCTCAAAACCTCTTCTAGTGATTGTTCAAGGCATTTTAGGTTGAGTTTCTAATTCTTATGCATGATGCAAGGAAGATTGGTTTAAGGCTTGTGAACCATTGGCATAAGGCATCCCTTTTGGATATTCAAAGTGGATTCGTAAAAAGTTCCTAATTGAAGTTTCATCGAGTTTAAAATAAAGATTGAATCTCGTTTGAATGGCATGTTGGAACTCAAGTTCATTTTGAAAGAAGAAATATATTTTGATTTCTTATCATTTGAGATCAATGGTTAAATTAAGTACTCATCATTCAAATCTTTCAAGCAAAAGACACTAATGAATTTTGGTACAAATTCACTTCCAATATTCATTCAAATAATGCCTTTGACTTCACAT